AATGAAAAACAAAAAATGGACAACAACAAGCCTCCTCCCTACAAAGCTGACCTAGCAACTTATTTCTGACCTCAAAATGTTGGAAGCAGTTTGATGGACAATATGATTTTTCAATAGTAAACCCCAGGCCTGATATAATTCTGACCATTATAAAAGCTGGATGCTGTGCAACAAAGTATTAAGTGTTTTTAATACTTCTTAATATTTTTTCTTCTACAAAAACAAATAAAAGAATGAAGTGTGGAGATTCTATAGATTTTGCCAGGTATTGTATTACAAAATACTCCAATTAACAATCACTGATTATGATTGAAAATTTGTTATAATTATATTATGTTTATATGTTATGATACATGTGTTATATTTGATAACATTATTAATATCAGTATTCATAAATAGTGTAAATCTGCATAACCTATGTCCCTAAACAGGTGGATATTTAGAGGGGTTTGTTTTTTTAAACAAAACCACTGCCTGCTGCTGCTAAACCTGCTTATTTTTACATGCGTGGTGTGCAACACTATAATCAGCACAACATATACAGAAACACTGTAAGAAGGAGGAGAATGCAGACTTGAAAGTTCCTGGTGTCAGATGCCTCTGAGTCAGCTGAGTGTAAAAACCCACCCAGGAAGAAGCATAAAGTTGAGGCGATCCGCTCTGTCCCTCTCAGCTTTGTACAAAGCCGTTCTCTCCTCCACGAGCTTCTCCAAAGTCCTGGAGTACATCTGCAGACGACGGATCAGGTTGTCCATGTACGTCTCTGTGGCTTGGTTATGGAGATTACTGCATCAGATCAAAAATGTTTTATATCACCATATCAGCTGTTACTGCTACTTACTGCTCTTCATTTAAGAGAATATGACAGAAAGACGTATTTTTGAGGAAAACCTCCTCACTTGGGTCTTTGAGGTGAGGTGTTTGGCAGTTAGTTCGGAATGTGTCAAGTTATAAAAATGAATCGAAGCCACACCGAAGAAACACACAATGGGAATCTACCTGAAAATATTTCCAAGCGTTAACTCGATTCTTTTAAAATCTGGCCTCCGTTCTGGGTCTTCCTCCCAGCAATTCTTTATCAGTGTGTACAGCTGTATAGACACAGAGATACACACAAAACACACATAAAAAACACAAGAAAAAAAAGAAGAGGAAAGTGTTTTTTTATCTACTTAATTTACTTGAATGGATCCATATAACTTTATAAACTCTATAAGAATCAGGGTGTGTTGCTGTAACAGCTCCTTTGCGTTTGAAAGGCTTTTTTTTTTTACCTCAATCTCTCTGTCTGACACACCCTCAAAGTTCAGGTCAGGTCTGAAGACATTGTGCCCGATAGGATGCTGCAATCTGTAGATCTTCTCTGTGGGTTTGCACAGCAGTCAGTTAAACAAGATAAGTATGGGACACACGTTACTCTGTGACCTCTGTGTTTCACAGTGTGCCGAATTTTGCATCTTGTATGTGTAAAAGGGTCTTTAAATCAACGAAAACCGATTGACAAAGACAGACACATTTTTTCAGTTCTGCTGTTTATGGCAGTATAATGGTGGCCTACCTCTAACATCAGTGCAGTACTCTGTGTAGAAAGGGGCTTGTCTCATAACAATCTCATGGGCAATGATGGCGTAGCTGTAGACATCGCCTTTTGGAGACACCCCAAATTTACGAAGATGCTCCGGGGCAGTCCACAAATCTGATTGGACAGAAAACCAGCAACATCAGTTTATCATCAGTTACTTTCACCAATCAGAATCACACCTTTCAATGTCAGACACATTTTTCAAATATATTAATTCTACGTTTAAATCTGCAGCTACCCTAACCCTGAACATAAGTTCAGCATTTACAAAGTCAGTCCCCTTCATCTGACTTCCCCTTGTAGCCAGTGCTCATCTTAGCCTGGCTTATTAGAATGTTCGTCAGACATATCTTCCTCCACTGTCTTGCAGTACTTTGAACAAAAAATAAGAAGACTTATCTGAAATTACACGTAACCCAGTGAGCTGCTGCTGGAGCAAAGAAAAAGGTTAGCTAGTCTTTGACAGCCAAGCCACAGGCGGTGCAATATTTCCTCAGCCTGACAGAAACAGATAGTGACTCTCTATTGGAGATCCTTACTGTGTGTCTCTATGGGAGCTTTGTACAGGGACCTCCAGCTGCCCCTGAAGCCTATTACAGGTACAGTAGACAAAGCAACACCTCTGACTATTCATAGTTGATGTGTTTGAAAAGATAATAATAGTGATCCTTCAGCAATGATGGAAAGTCAGGCAAAGAGATTAACTGTTTACCTGCAGAATGAGTCCTGATTACATCTAACAGGCCAAACAATCCTGACTTTATCCACCAGCCTCTACAGAAGTTACTGAGACCTCACCCCAGTTTCCTGAGCCAGCCTGGCTGCATTTTCTGCTTCCCTGCAGACCTCAGACCCGCCACTGCTGTTACAAGGTCCTGGGTCGTGGAGTAGAAGCTCCGCGGCAGTGTTACTGTTACAACCCTTACAAATGAGAGCAATCTCTTTTGTTTTTTAAAACAATTGTCCAAGTGTGGAGAATCCACTGGTGAAAAAAAGTCTATGTCTGGCTGGTCAAGGAGAACTTTAAAATAGCATCTATGCTACTCTGTGAGGTAACATGCACGCCATTTAAAACCAAGGTGATTGCTGTTTATGATAGAGATGCTGCTGCTATGTGTCGCAGCCAAATAGCAAAATTCTGCTATGTGGCTACGAAAGTCGATCAGACCCCGCCCCCTCCAAAACAGGATGGAGTCTTACCCAAAGAAATTTAGCATTTTTTTTTGTGTCTACAGCTACTGTAGAGGTTCTACAGCAATACAATAGTGTCACGTTGTTCTTCAGTTAAAAATTCTGTGTTCTGATTTCATTAGTAGCCTATTTAACTCCTGAGAGTACTTTTAAAATAACTCTCTGAATTAAAAGCAGTTTTTTTTCCTAGTTTATACCTTTTATAATAACTGTTGTGTGTTTTGTGCCAGTTTGCTGCCAGAGAAATCTAATTTGTTTTTCCTTCCCAGTCTTTTTTCCTCACACCGACTTCAGAAGTCAGAGAAAAACTAACAAGAAAAGCTTGTCATGATTTAGTCATGCATTGCAGTCGCCGTAAGGTAATGTCGGAGGCCAAACCAGTCATATCGTTGCTTAAGTTAAGCTAATGTTTATATTTGATTAACATAAATCCTGGACAGTTTATGAGGGGAGGACTATTATTCAAGGAAGTCGGAATACCAGGAGCAAACCCATGCAATCAGAGGAAGAAGAGGCAAACCCTGCACAGAATGGCCACAGCCAACAGGGAGGTTGGCTGATGCTGTGATGTGACGGTGCTAACCACCACATCACTGTGCTCACCTGACCACAGACATGTCATCCCAAGCTCAACCAACAGGTAAAGCAAGAGCAAGGCAACAATGACCATTAGAGAGCCGTCAGTCTAACCCATGCTGGCAACCCTCATTAGAGAAGGATGATACAACCCAAGCATATAAAACACAATTAACCCAGTTAAACTCTCTAAGTCAAGAAATTATATGATTAAATTAAAATCAAGAAATACACTCCAAAAGCTCCAAACACTCAAAACTCTCACACAAACACTCAGAACAGAGCAGGATTCTAACTCAGCGGGAGCTTTTAGAAGAAAACGATGGTCTCAGAGCTTAGATCAATACTCAGCCACACTGATAACATTTTTTAAAGCTTACCTTTTCCTGTATTTAGCATGGTGTTGCAGCCAAAGTCAGTGATCTTGACCACCATACGGTTGTCGACAACACAGTTGGAGGACTTGAGGCGGCCGTGGACTGCAATATTGCTTGAGTGGAGATATGACATGCCCTATCGAATATATACAGCAGAGCAGTGGTTATTATTTGCTATTTCAACAATTTTTTATCATGTGTTCTGGTTGTTTTTTCTCTTAAGAAAATCCTGAAATTATATGTTGCTGAAACAAAATATGTGCTGGAGGTGCTTTAAATGTGGTAATTAAAAAACAAAGCAGTTACCCAAAAGAAAACAGGCAAAATAAAAATAAAAGAAAGCATTTAATAAATCACATACTCAGAAAGGCAACTTAAAGAAACAATACCTTTGCTATGTCATACATGACTGATATTTTAAACTCCATATCCATGAATGTTTCATCTGGGTAAGAGATCCTGTCACTGAGAATGTACTGGGGGGAAAAAACATGAGCAAATTCAGGTTCTAGCATTTTTGGAAACTGAAACAAGTCTGTGTGTGAGAGAGTCTGAATCATATGCATTCATACACACTGTAAGTGTTCTTTAAACACTGAGTGTCCATAACTTATCAACAAGTGAACATCAAAGTCACTGTGAACTATGTGTGCCGCTGAGCACTGAAAAGTCAAATCAGCATAGAGTCAAAAATTGTGTTTTTCTGCATGCAGTGTGACACAAAGCAGACACAAAGCTCAAATCATCTCAAATTGGTTCTTTGAACTTTGTAATCAAATCTCAATCCAGTCGAGCCCCGTTGGGAACAGCAGGTGTAACTAATGAAGTGGCTGGTGAGTGCATTTCTGTGCTCATGGGTGTTTTTTTTTTTATTGTTATACAGATTAGAAAACAATCTAAACGATAAGATAAACTGATTTACGAACAGAAATCCCAGCAGCAGGACCTGATATGAAGGTAGAAACAGTGTGTGAACGTTGCTCTGCTCTTACCCTGAGGGAGCCCCTCTGACACAGCTCAAACACACCGTACACACCATATTCAAACTTCACTGTGCCATAAAATTTGGTCAGATTGTAGTAGTCAATGCACAGCAGCTGGAACATGAAGACAGTGGCAGGGAGAGTTAATTATTTTTTATGTACTTTTATTAACCTCCAAGATAAAACGCAGAGTTATCTTACAGTGTTGAGCTCAATCCTCTGGTCCTCGGTGAAGTCTCCCTCTGTGGTTTTCAGCTCTTTCATGATTACAGGCTGGAGAACACAGAGAAAAGGACCGACATGATCATTTCCCTTTGAATCTTTTTAAAATCAGATATCAATTTTTTGGATTGCTGATACCTTCTTGTCGTAGCGGCCTCGCTGCCTGAAGTATATACTGTCCTTTCTCTTATCTTCATCAATCTGTTTCATAAACACACACATACATTCTTATCTTGAACTGCCATAGATCTGAAAGCTTTTTACATACATTTTAGGACAGGTTTTATTTTCAATAAGATAGCTGCAGATGTATGGCCCTGTTCTAACACAAGAATCACTGAGCAAACAGGTCCAAAACAGAGCAGGCATCCATGACTTAACATTCACCTTCCTTCTAGGTGTATCATGTTCAACATGGGCTGCAAAGCAGCTTGCAGAGGCATTAAGATCATCTGTTACCAGCTGGGATTGTGTGACTCTTGGACATCAGTTTCACTTTTTATTGAACTTTAACAATTTAGCACATACTCTGACATTTTCATGTAGTCATATCTTATTTATCTTATTTAATGCGTATCAAAAAAAAAAGCCTTACTGTGTCATAGAGCTGCATTTTTTCAGCAGTCAGGGAACAAAATCTGGAGTTAAAGTTTGCTGATGAGAGCATTTACCTTCAGAGACACTTCCTTCTCATCCAGAGGGCCAATCAGGTGAGGTTCGATGTGAGACCATTTCTTCTGTAGACAGCGTTCTTTCCTGTTCTGCCTGTCAGTAAAAAAATATTTTTAAAAAGCATGCAGTAAATGATCGTATATGTTTACTGCATAATAAGATGTTGTTGCGCCAGGTTGAAAAACACAAGGCAGTATTTGCCACAGAGCTGTTACCCTGTCCTCCTTTACCTAAATAAGGCAAATACTGCCTAATTTTTTCAGCTCAGCTCTAGTGATGCACTTGTGCTAAAATGTGACATGCAGCTCTTCTACCACAACTGGGAAATGAATCTGCAGTTTACCTGTAGAAGATAAGAGCAACTCCCGTCACCACCACAACGCTGAGACTCAGAACAATCACAATGATTTCCTGCATGTCAAACTCTGAAAGCAGACATGCATGAATAGAGTAGAAGATTCAGAGCTTTGCCTTGAATAAAGCATTAAATCATTCTGTAAATTATTCTGCAAAAAGTTCATGTGTGTTTTACCATCCGGCATCTTTGGCTCGTCAGGAGGCAGCTTGTTTCCTGCCCACGGCAGAGTGGGGTTTTGGGTGTAATTGATGGTTTTATTTAGTGATGTATCAAACAATAGCAGAGTTTTATACTACAGAGGAAGAGAGAGGGGAAAAATGTAAGGAAAAAAAACAGCTATTCACTTTTAATGCAGCAGTGTTAACTGATTAATAAACAAAGGTTTCACCTTGGCAGTGTTAGCTGATGTGTAAATGATTGAGAAGTTAACATCTCTGTCCCCATATTCATCAAGCACATAGTGTCCTCCCATACCTGCTTGCACACACAATCATATAAACAAGACAATAAAACATTTTTGCATTATGCTTTTCCAAAAAGTTTAATTAAAAAAAATGCTTTGACTCAATGTTACCTAAAAATTTGACATGAAAAACTGCAAATAATTATTTCATTATCAATAAATTCTGTTAATATCCTTTATTAACTGTTAGGTAATTGCAGCTATACAACATGAGAAATCTGCATTTCTGAAAGTCAAAGTTGATCTTTTGAAGCTTTGTTTTTTCTTTTTTACACAATAACTACAAAACATAGAGATTCTATATACTCCAATCAAAATTATTGCCAGCTGAACGGATTAACAGATAAATCACACACAAATTACAAAAAGCACTACTCGAAAAATTAAAGTAATGATTAAGTGGCAAGAACTGCTGCTCCTGGAGTGGCCACTGGAGGTTGTCTCCTAAAGTGACTCAATCCTTATAGACTCCCATGTTTAAAAGCCCAAAAACTACTCATCCATTTGTATTTTGTTAAAACGTAAAGTTCAGGATGTGGCTGCTTTGACTGCTGACGACGGTAACACTTTCATATTGTATACATGCATAAAATGATACACGTGAAACTTCAATTGTTCTATGAATGTTCAAAGAGGGATTCTTCCTGGCCCTACCTTTCACAATAAAACATGTGACTGCTGTAAATAAAATTGATTGGTAGAGGCAGGGTACACATAACTCATAACGCATAGAGACAGACAACCATTCACACCTATGGGCAGTTTAGAGTTACCAATTAACCTAACCCCTCACATGACTACATGTCTTTGGACTGTGGGCGGAAGCCAGAGAACCCACGCAAACAGAAAGACCCCGCCCTGATGGTTGAAATGAACTCAGGACCTTCTTGCTGTGAGGGAACAGTGCTCACCACTGTGCTACTGTCCTGCCCTGATAGATTCCTAATGTTATATATAACAAACAACAGTTATGTGAATTAAACAATTGAAAAGCTGTTTATTTGTGACTGCAGTAATGACAGAAAGCATGTGTATTTTCACACAAGCGTAGAACAAATCAAACCTCCATGTAGAAATCAAGAGGTGACAATCACTTCTGGCTACAAAAAAAGAAGACATTTTCCAAAACCCCTGACATGCAGGCTTCATAAAACTGAGCCCAGAAGCAGGTGACCTTATGGTGACTCATCCATCTTTTATATACAGTCTGTGGCATCCCATTATTGCTGTAGTCGGTACAGAAGAATAAATCATAATGGAATCGTTTTCATACCTGTACCTTTTAACCATAAAGAAAAATCCAGAAGACCGACTGACCCTTTTACTTGGGTACAAGTAAGAGGGCAGGATAAGAGTTAGCCAGAAAACAATAAAAGTTACCATAAAACAAAAGATCAAGGGCTGTAAATACTCACTTTGATCTCATACTCTGTATCTTGGAGGACAATCTCCACATTACAGTGAGCTGAACTGCAGTAAATATTAACTTGAAGAAAAAACAAGCAATGAAAATCTCTTTATCCTTTCAAAGTCATCTGAAGTCATCTTCAGGTATGATTGGTTTTGTTGTATGATAGCATCCAAAACCTCAACACAGAGCAGCAGAATTTAAAAAAGAGACGACGGTTGTGTTTTAATGTGAAAGCCATCTTTGTTCTTCAGCTGCAGTCAAACTTTGATCTAAGCAACATCAATCTTGTGGGCATAAAATAAAAGAATGTTTAACTCATCCTTCTTATTTCAGCTACTTGAATAGGCATGGTGTCCTCCCGGATACTGCTTATCACAGTCCTCCGGCATTCTGCCTCCAGCTGTGTTATCTCTGGTCATACGCACCATAAAATGAGATGTTTCCAAATGGGTTGTCACCCAGAGAGCCATTGTCGTTCCCGTTGTATTTTTGTATGCTGAGCATCCTCTCTCTGAGTGCTTTACCAAACAGCAGAGTCCCATCATGATATCCAGCCACATAATCGTTTATCTGCACGAAAGAATGGACGATAAAAGACCGAGCAGTTACTTCATGTGGTCTTCTTTCTAAACTTGAGGTGCGACTCACCGTTTCATTGAATGAAGAGCCAGAGGTGTAGTTTCTCTGCGGCAGAGTGACCACTAAGACACTTTCCATACCCGCAGAAGATGTGGTGTTTAAATAATAATCAGGGCTGAATGAAGGAAAATAGTTTCTTAGTATTAAGATTTCTTGATTCCCACTTAATAAAAACATTGTGGTAGCAGTGCATGTGTGAAACAATAAATTCCTGTCCAGGCTTACTTGTACACATCTATGAGAATAAACAGGAAGTCTTTGGGAATCTGGCCCACCAGCTCCTTTACTGAAATCATCTCATCAGTGTTCCCACATAAGATTAAAACTGAAAGAAATAAATCAGTTTTACAGTAAGCAAGAAGGAAAATTCTTCAGCTGTCTTTGTGCACTTCTTCAGTCAGACTACTGGTTGTTCAGCTCTTTCAGTCTTGACTACTGCTACGGCTTAAATAATCAACTTACAATGAAATCCCCAGAGGACCAAGGCATTTTCTGCTTTATTAAAAAAACTATAAATTCTCAAAAACAGACAAAAATATATATATTCACTGTTGCTGTGTCTTTTCGGAGACTGGAACAATTTTTTCAGGCCCTCCTCCCCATGAATTGGCTCTGTGTTTGTGCCCAGCATAAACTTGTTAGTAGGTGCCGTCAGTGCGTTGATATACCTGTGGCAAAGCAATGAAACAAATCAAAAAGCTGGTTTATGCTGGAGTACAAATGAAACAACAGATCTTATCCATAATCACTTGAGTTTGGCTCACCAGAAGCAGTCCTCAGATGCATTGTTGGTTTTCTTATAGACGTAGAATCGGCTCCACCGCTCCTCCTTGAATGGCAGAGTTTCATTCATAAAGTGAAGGAAAAAGTCACAGATCTTTCGTGCTGGAGGCAGAATTCGGGTTAGTTTAGGCTTGTAGTCACAAGAGAGGCCAAAACTTCCAGCAGAGATGATGGGAATGGTTAAACGCAGACCAATGTTTTCACTGGAGAAAAACAAACGGGCAAAAATTAAAAACTCAAGAATTAAACAATCTCATGAAAGTAAAAGAAAAAGATCCATACTTACTCTACTAACTGATAGGTGGCATATGTGCAGGAAGGCCCCAGCATGACACATCCAACTTCACCATTAGCCTGAAGAAAGTTACAACTGCATTAAGGAAAATGAACTTCAGAGCAGTTACTTCACAGTCTAGTACTTGCATTTAGTCTTTTTGCTTCAATTCCTCCTAGCTCTGTAATTTTGCAATATTTCCCCAAATCCATTTCATTAGTCCCCAGTAAAATTGGACAAATCTGTTGCTCTTGACTGTGCTGGAGGAAGCAGTATCAGCTGTTTGGCCTAATGTCAGCTGCACTGACTGAGTTCACTATGCGGCATGCTTTGTCTACATTGCACTGTGCTTCTATTTAGCCTGGTGTTTGTGGTGATACTTGTATCTTGACATTCCACTAATTTATAAGTATCATAACTTCTATATCACCAAACCCTCTGGTAAACTTCCTCTTTAGCTCAGCTGCCTCTGTGACCGATGCACACAGTTACCTTCCAATCTAAACCAAACAAAGCTCATAGTTTAATCTCTTGCAAGTAATGGCAGTATCATCTTCACATAATCAATGAGTCTGTGGCATCAAGCACAAGTCATCAAGTCATCCTGCTCCCAACACCACTCAGAAAAATATTTCAGTATTTCTCTGATCTCTTTCACTTCTGCCCCCTTCCTCTCAAATCTCTGCTCGTCTGACACTGGACACTTGTCAGATAATATCGCCAAGCTGCAGACCTTATATACTGACTATTGTTTACCTGAGGTCTATACTGTATGACGTTTTGGTACATAAAATGGGCAAAAGTATTGGGTCATGGTGTCTGCCTTTACAATCACTGATGAAAGAGTGGGTTGTTCTAAAGAGCTCGCTGAATTCAGACGTGCCACTGTAATAGGATGCCATCATTGCAAGAAGTCAGTTCATAAATTTCTTCCCTCCTAGATCCTCTATGATCAGATGTAAGTGTTTTTATTGCAAAGTGGAAGCATTTAGGGAGCAAAAGAGTTCCCAATCCCTTCTGGCATTAACATCAGCATAAAAACTGTCCACCGGGAGCTTCATGGCACCTTCTCTAGATGTAACATGTAGATGTCCCATTACTTGTGTTCATATATGAGGAAAGGTTATTTTACAAATCAAATATAAATATTACTATTATTATTATTTGAATTATGATGAATAACAGTGGTGACATTTATGGAAAAAGTCTACAGAGAGCTGAGGTCATCACTGATTTCTTTGTTTTCTACTGATGATGTTTTAGAAATAATATTTTCATGCATCCCCAAGAAATGAAAATGTCCATTCATGATGTTAAGTTCATGTTTACAACCAGAACTGTCCTGCTGTGTGTAATGATGCCAGTTACAAGCCAATTTAAGCATAACAACCTCAAACCATCAGTAGTCGCAGAACTGCAAAAACCCCTCAGACCTATTTACAAGATCTAAAACAAAGGCTTTAAAAAAACTCTGAGGCTTTAGGAACAAGAAAATCACATCAGAAAGTGTTATGTCTGATTGTGCCCACTATGTTTAAGCAAGTAACCACACTTACGTTTAGTTTCTTGAGTATTGTCAACCCCTCGCACGTGCTGCTCCCGCAGCCCTGCCGCTTGTACAAGTTGGTGTTGAACCCATTGAAGTTAGCAGTCAAAGTGAAGTCTAAACCTTGAGTCATGGAAAAAAATTGATAAGAGTTATGAATGTCGGAAAACAATGAGATTAGATTAGTCTGACACTGGCAAAAATAGGTCTAATGGTTGAATTTGCATCAGAAGCAGGAAGAACAGTAACATTTTTTTTAAAGGGTCCCTTAATAACAGATACAGCAGATATGTTTAAATAACATATCTAAGCATAACATATTTAAATCTCTAAATTAGTTTCATTTGTATCATATCTGTCAATATGTTTTTCCCCTACAGAATAAAATGCTAAAAATTACTTAAAATAGCATCATAACAAATGCTTTTGTCCACCAGAGCAGCTCTGGCTCCGCTGTTAACAACACAGCCAAGGTTGTGTGTGACGGAGTACAGGATCAGAGTCGAATGGTAGCTATTAAACATTCCTGAGAACTGTGAGTCATCTTTTGTCCTTCTGTTGGCATTGACTGCAGAAATCTTGCATCAGTCCTTTTAGTAATAAAACGAGCAACCTTGAACTATTTAACAACAGCGAAAGTGACATATGATTTGGTACATAAACCACAAGTTAATGATGTATTTAACTTTTTCGTGGTAAACACGCACGAGCAGTAAAACACTGGTCAAACATCAGCGAGACAGATTCCTGGAAGCATGATTCAAATACACAGAACACTTTTAAAAGCTACTTTAATGGTTTCCTTGCAGGACATGACTATTTTAGCCTCGCCTTGTACACACAGTAAAAGGACCTAGAAAGAGGTATCTTTTATATCTATCTGCAGGCAGCTTGAGAAAAATGTATTTATATGTTATATCTTTTTAACCTATGATAAATACAATTTCATGTGAAAATAAGATAATAGTCATACATAAATGTCATACTTTTAGACTAGGCAAACAAAAACCAAGCAGTCCAGTTTTTTAATTTTTAATTTTTAAGCTAAGTGTGAAAGTTGACAGTAAAGTATGTTCTGTGTAGGTTAATGCATTCGCAGAGAGACTTTTAAGATACTGCTGTATATATTGATACCCTTCTTGTTGTTCTTCGAGCCTGATGTGTTTTGTTTTGTGTGTTTTTTCTGTTGGGTATCTATCTGTCCATACCATACTTATCGTTCTCCTGCTTGTCAGCTAGAATAGCTTGTTCCACGGCCGCCTTCACAAGTGGCATGCTCCATTCATAAGTGTTGTCCTCCAGCAGTACAATATTCATGTAGTAAGAACGGTTTGAATTCAAACAGTCATCAATCATGTCACTGGCGACCATGGCAAGCGTAAGTACGCCCAGGTAAAGTAAACTGGACATCCTGATCACTGAGACTTTCAGTTTTGCCTCTGAATTTTTGGCTCTAGTATAGATGTCAAAAATAGAGACCTCTGCTCAGGTAAACAGGATGCTGGAAGCACGACATATCTTCCCCACTGATGACAAAAGTTCAAAAACAGAAGTCAGCACATCTCTGCAGTAACCAAAAAGAAGTCGCTCTCCTGATCCGATGCCAAGAATCCAGGTAAGAGAAGTTTTGTGTAAGATCCGGCCCCCAAAACTTTCAGTAAATTCAGAATATCGAGATTGAAGACCAAAAAGAAAAGAAATAACAGCTGTTATGTTCCTCTTGGTAAAGACCGAGTTCTTTAATCGTCCACCTTAGTACAGGCTGGTCTCCTTTTGTTAATGAACAACTGCAGTGAGGCAGAGGGAGGGCAGGGCAGGAAAAACTCACACACTCTACCTGGAATGACACCTTACTTTAAAAAGTGACCAGGATTATAATTTACCCTGTTTATAAACACCAAGTTTAGACCTGCCTCCCTATTACCATCTAAAAAAAAAGTTTATTTCCTTGTTTTTAGCGATGATCCCGTCAAGTGTGAGAACAAATTACAATGTCAGATTTTTAACAACAGCACATTAAATCTGGCTCCTGGAAACAGAACACAACAGTACACAGTGGCACCACTTAAACACCTGTTTTGCCTTTTTTCTAACCGCTTTGTTTCCTGCACTGTAGACGTCTTTATGCAGAGGCGGGGGAGAAGCTTTAATGCTGAGGGGGTCAAAGCTCACAGGAGGCCATAAAAGCGAAGGCTTGTGTGGAGCTGATAAATATTGCCGACCATAAAAGCCAGGTCGATTAAGCCTGTAAAATAAAACCTGTGCCACTGCATTTTCCGAAGAAAAAAACATTTAAATCCTCAGAGGTGCTGTTCAATGTTTTAAGTAATTTTTGAAATCCTCAGCTAAGTACCTTCTAACTAAGATAATCTGTATTTAAAACACTATTAGTGTATAGCTTATAAATCGTGTAATTACGACCCAATTAAGACAGTATTTTAATTATTATCACAAGCATCACATAAAAACCTATTTATCACATCAGGATAAAGGTCAAGAGCAAAGTCATAATAACCTGATAAATGCACTGATTTGGTATTTTCTGCTTCCAACTAACTAAAGCTTTCTCCACCACAGAGTTCAAAAACCATTAAATATGAATTCACTTCAGCCAGTTATCTGACTTTTTGATTAAACGCCGAAATCTTTGACTTTCAGTGAAATGTATTATTGAATAGAATATGTGTTGTCATGATTATCTTTTCATCACAGCTTTGCCATTTTGAGCAAACTGACACATAAAGTTAAGCTAAAGTTATGACTATAGACTCTTAATGGTGCCTGTTTCACATGGATTTGTCCAATTTGACTGGATTGATTAAAATTACTTAAGTACAGATTCATGATTCGGATCATCTGTCTTAAGTGAATATTTGAGAAACTGCTTATCTGCTGGGATTTTTGAATACAACCTTCTCCAAGGTTTTTAAAGAATGGCCTAAAAAAGAGGAACTATTCATTGATCATGGGCAGTGAGTTACTAACATGGACCAAAATCTGTGAGGATTGTTTCCAGTACGTCATTGAACTTGTGCCATGAAAAATTAAGGCAGTTCTGAAGGCAAAAGTGGGTTCAACCCAGTACTTCAAAAGAGTACCTATCATGCGAGTGCATAAATTCATAAAGGAAAAGTAAATGTCCATTGTGAGAGCATTTTGTGATGATATGAACATTTCTTAAAAGCAGAAATGAAACCATTTTTAAAAGAAAACAAGTTAAATCAAAGTTTAAGCAAGAAAGTTACCATTTCCTATAAAAAAATTAAACTGATTAACTGATTACTAATTTTCAGTTACTGGGTTTATTGAATAATACACTAATTACTGCGGCTCCAGAAGCTGGGCGGAAAAAGGAGAGAAAATGTAAAAGTTACATTTCAGCTTAAGTAGAAATCACTACAGCAAACATTTGTTTCAAAAGGAAAGTTGGGACATCAGCTCAACGTCCCTTTCATGTGGTTGCAGTCCAGAGTAATGTGAAACAGCCAGCGTCTTTCCTCTACAGAAAAAAACTGATTAGATCTCACTGTTTTAAGTAATTATAGGCCAATTTCCAAAGAGAGAAAGTTGTTGCTCATCAGCTCGGTCAGATTATTGAAGGAATTTTTACGTCTTTGATAAATTCCAATCCGAGTTTTATTGAAGACTTCTAATGATATTCTAATGCGTTCAGATAAAGGTGAACATTACATTTTAGTCCTGCTCGACTTATAACGTTAATCATGCTCTCTTATTAACAGACTACAAAACTGGGTTGGCATCACTGTACTGCTTTCAGGTGGGGGGGGTTTCATACCTATCAAACAGACACTTCAGAACTCATATTAATCAATGTATGCCCCCATCTGCACAGCTCGTATGTGGAGCCCCCCAGGGCTCAATCCTTGGACATGTTCTAGGACACACATATATATATATATATATATATATA